ATCCACGCTTTACTTGCCAGAATGTAAATGAGATAACAAGAGTTTATTCAGATTAAGGTAGAAAGAAGTGCTTTTTAAGCAAGAGTTTCGGATGTTAGTTTAAGAGGGTGTCTGCTTATTCAAGGCCACGTTGTGCTGTGATTATTAGCGACTTGCATTATTGTCATTGAGTGCTCTAGCCGTTTGGCTTTGTCTCGCCGGTTTACTATAAACCAGAGCTCTTCTGCGCGTTAAAGTAGTCTATGTGCCGTTAGGCTAATCTACCATACCTTGAAATTATTACAGTAAGACCCCGCTTAACGCTGTTTCGGTTTAGCGCTCTTTTATTTCAACCCGGGGATTCCACGAAATCGCTCGCAGCATACGGGGATTCCCCGAAATATTATGCAGCGATAGGTTTCAAATACATATCCGAAAGAGTGTACTTGTATTTCTTGTTTGGTGCGGTATTGTACAGACATATTTTGAAGGGGTCAATGTGAAAGATGTCGAAGAAATAATTCAAGAAGCAGCGGCTAGTCTTTCTAATGATGAGCTCAAGGAATTAACTGAACAAGAAGAAAACAAAAATGTTGACAGCAGTGATTCAGAAGAAGAGCAAAAAGAACTTTCGATGGCGTTTGTAAAAAGGAGTTTGTCTACCATAACTGAAATAATGGATCAATTCATTGAAAATGATCCGAATTTTGACAGGAGCTCAAAAGTAAGGCGTGGTGTTAGAGATGCTCTATCCGTTTATGAAGAACTTTTAAGAGAACAACGCAAAAGAAAAAGGCAAACAACATTAGATGCTTTTGTCACAAAAAGGCATAACACTGAAAACGCGGAAGGCTAACTAAATAGGACTGACTGAGAATTTTATTTGTTTTTTTTTTTTTTAAGAATATTCGTTTTGTTATTTATATTTTGTTTTTATTTTTGCAAGAAATAATAATGTGGTATTAATTTGGGCTTTAAGAAATAAATGTTTGGTTTTATTTTTATTAAAAAAACATACTTTTTAAATTTAATACCTAACCAATTTCCTAGCCATCTTCCCCTAACCCCAATATTTACATGTAAAGATAGCCTCGTTTAGCGCTGTTTCACATTACGCTCTACTTTGATGGAACGTATCCCCCCGCGTTAAGCGGGGTCTTACTGTATTTGTTACGTTTTTGTGCTAAGCTAGAAGTGCTTGGCTTGTTGTAACCCAAGTTGGGTAACTTGTTAATTTTATGTTCGAATAAAAGGGTCTTATACACCCTTCTTCTGATTTCTGTTTTGTTTCACAAGGCTAGAAGATAATTCTTAAATAGTCCTTTCTTAAAGTCTACTTTGTATGTTTCCAAAGAGACATAGACTTTATAAGTTGAAAGAGGTTCATTATGAAGTCGTTGAACCTTTTAAAAGATAGAGGTTTTAGGTGACAAATCGAATTCTCTTGTCTAGTCGACAGCTTGAACTATAAAAAGAATTATAAGAGCCTTGCCGAGCGTCCATAGTGACTTCTGTATTTTCAGATTACGAAAAGTATTTAAAAGAAGTTATGACATAACTTTAAAAAAAAATTATTCATCATAGCCAGGCTTCATAAAGTTAACAGATGATTCTGGTGCTAAAAAAGGACTGATCAAATTCCAGGAATTTTCTTTTTTTTTATCCATCTCGGATATAATTACCTAGAAACACTTTAATTAGAATTCCTGTTAACAAGCATCGTTTGTATTTAACATTAAAAACCGCTATTTCTTAAAATAAAATATACACCCCCAAAAAATTCTTAAAATAAATTTTGTTGAAATTTTTGTAAGAGCAATGTCTACGAAAGACGTACTTTTAAGATGAAATTTCTTTTAAGCACGTTTTCCTTCATTCATGCATATAAATAAAAGCCACTATTTTAACATTATTATTATATTATTACTAATTAAGCATCATAAAACTTCAAAATGAGTGTAAAAGAAATTCACTTTTGCTTTAACACACGACAGACTTTAAATTAATATTTGTTTTGTATGCACAATTTACAATATTGATAAACGAAAATAGAGGCTTGCAGTCTCAATAAAATGTCCCATTAATGGGGATAAATGACTTTTTGTAGCACCCAATCTTTTTGGTAAAGAAAGAGGGGACAGGAAACGTCGCGCAGTTCATGGGTTAGATAAGAGGGGGAAGGGGATCTTCGATCAAATTTCGCGCAGTTCCTTACCCTACCCTTCCGTTATGCGCCTGCCACGCAATTTTGCGGTTTTTTTAAATTTGTAAATAATTTCTATTATGTGTGAGTACATGTGTTGTGTAAAAACACATACACACACAACGATGGCGCTGCCGTTGGATCTCGGCGTATGTTTGGCTTCTCTTTCACAGTTAAAAAAAAAAAAATCTGAAATGTTTCAGATTTTAAATTACGTCCAAAGGGGCGTTTTTTAACATTTTGTGTGTTACCTTTCTTTATTAAATATCATGTTTCTCGCACTTAAACCATAAGATCCAGTGCAACAGCAATATCGCAAAATAGTTTTAAAACGAGCATATCTTTAGAATTTCCGATACAGAGGCTCCTGCGCTGGAGATAAAAATGTTTTTTCTGCACAACGTTGCCATTGCTCGCTTTGAAGTCCTTGAGTTTGTTAATCAAAAATTCGTCAAAGTTTTAAAAAATAGGAAATCGATCATAAAACAAATTTCAAATTTCAAATTTGGTCTTTCACATGCTCATATTCGTTGGAGGATTACGTTATTCAAAATTCGATGACTCTATGTACCGTTATTTATGACAATGTGAGAAATATGCATGCATTTACGCAGATTTTTTCATTATTTAATTTCTTCAAATATAATGCAGGACTCTAACATTTTGTGGCAACAGTTTGAAAAGTGAACCGATATTTATGAGTCCGACGCAAAATGCCAAAACGAAACTAATAATCCTTCGGGATTCAAATCCCTTTGGACTAAAAAGCGCGCCAGGTGCGTAACGCAAAAGTACCTGAAACAGAGTATAATTTTTTATTGACTATATTTCCTATGGAACTTATAAAAAACCTAGCATATTTTTTTAAAACGAGTAACATGATCATAATTATAATCCTAAATCTTAATATATTTGATTTTAAGGTTTTAAGATGGAACCATGGACATATGATCAACCATTCAAGACATCATACTCAGCTGTACAATCTTCTCGAAACTCGCTATATAGACAGACATATGTTACTAAACAGAAAGCTTAAATCATAGAGTGAGAAAGAAAGTGGAAAAAAATCATGCGCACCGAAACATCATTCGTAAGACTAACTATTATCTCTAACACTCGCTATAAAATAGCATAATCTTCAACTCAATTAATACATTATTTGCAAAAATGTAATTAATACCTAAAACTCGTCAGAGAATTCACATCCTAATTTTAGAGCACTCGCCACAAATATATTCTCCAGAACGTCGACATAAAATTTTGAGATTTTTAGCTTTCAGAATTTAAAAGTCTGGGTAATTTATATTGTTTTTAATGCAAAAAAATTAAATTCTAAATGAATTTATGTTATCCTTTCGTGTATTCTTTTGCCTTTAGGAGAATTTTTTTTAATTCCTTGCAGGTTTGGTTTAGTTGATTATGGCAAACGGCAATAGGGCTAAGGTAAAATGGCTCATATACATGTTACACATGAGGAAAACAACGAAAACGCCCACGCGCTTGAAATCGAACCCAGGTTCGACCTACCAATGTTCAGAAACCACTCGGCCGCTTGTGGGATGTTTCCTTGTAGGAGTAAAGGATGTACTGTAATCGAGAAAATTTCAGGTATTATATTTTCAACGAAAATAACCATTTTGACCGCTCTCGAATCCATTTGAACGATGTGCTTTGCGACATCTTTAAAGAATAAAGGACAGAATAAAGAAGTCCTTTTTCCAAAGCAGATTGTAAAATGGATTTAAAATGGATTCAGAAGAGATTTTTTTTTCGTGACGTCAGTACGTATGTATGTATGTATCTCGCATAACTCAAAGAAAAGTAGCCGTAGAACGTTGAAATTTTGTATATAGAACTGCTGTAACACCTTGTTGTGCACCTCTCCTTTTTTGTTGCAATCGGACTCGCCAAATATTTGTAATTAATTTCCACGTACCTCCTCTTGACGACGTTATGTTGAAGTCGATTGAATTCCTCTTTCGTGTTCTTTTTTATTTTCTTTGTTTGTAATTTTTTGTGATGGTTTATTTTAATTTTCTTTTTACATCTACATAATTATAATTCTATATTTATAGGATCTATTGAAATTGGTTTGAATTTCATTTTCTGGTCGTTGTGAAAAATTAGTTCTAAATTTCTTTATGCTTTTACTGATCAACTTTCTGCGGCATAATGCACGAAAATTCTTGGAATAATTATATTTTTTATTTATATAAGAATTCTTTTGTATATATATATATATATATATATATATTCCCACTCTATTGCCCGGCTCAGTTTTTTTTACTCTTATATGTTGATGAATTGTGCGCTTTTTGCTTTAAAATTGATTGAATTGTGTTGTTCTTATATTCCGGTTAAGGTTTTTATAACTTTAGTTATTCTGCATAGCACGTTATTCAAAACTGGATGGCTCTAGGTAACCTTGTTTTATCACAATGCAAGATTCTTCATTATTTAATTTGTTTAAATATAACGCAAGGCGATAATATTTCGTGGCAACAGTTTGAAAAGTGAATCAACGCAAAAAAAGTGAATCGACCCACAATGCCAAAACGAAATTAATAGCCCTTCTGAGCTAACGCTCCTTTGGACTAAAAAGTGGATTTTACAATGTAGTTAGAAATTTTTCACGGTTTTAAGCATGATATTTTAAGTGCTCTTCGATAATATTTAGTCAGCTGATATCATGGATGGGGATACCGCTGATTGCACTGTAAGCTGTTATCTCGGCTTAAAGATAGCAAGGAGTTACGGTAAATATTAAATAAACAAAATTTTGCTGAAAAACAGTCATATGGCCGTTTTCAGGCTTGAAATTTCATATAAAGATAACTAAAATTAAAACTCTCCTCAAGGATTTGACTCCGAAACCTGAAATTTTCAAAAACTGCCAAAAGAATGAGATAGAGTATTAATTATTATAGAAAAATATCCCAGGTACTTTATTTTTGGAATCTCTCTCTTTGATATAATTCTGTTATAATGTCTTAGACATACTATTTAAAGATGCACGTAAGCTTACTTAAAGGCGTTACTAAAAGTATTATAGGATGTGTATATACGGCGTGGGCAGCTGCAGTTGCGGCATTAAGTGATTTTGAGAAATGCATTTTCCATTTAATTCACTCCAACGCTTAATTTAAAAATCCTTTTTTGATTTTTCAAAATATTAATTTTCATCTTTTAATTAAAAAAAATAAATCTGAAAACTGACATTTCCTTGTCTTGAGTACTAAATACTTTCTCAATGTCTTTTTCTAAATTTTAATAGTACAGTAGACCTCCAATTATCCGAATCAATTGGGACCGGATCCCATTCGGTTAATCAAAAATTCAGATAATTGGAATTTTTCCGAAGAAAGGGTCTACGTACACTTTAATTTATAACCGTATGTACTGTACGTTAAAAATGGGAGAAAAAAAGCTATTTTTTTTTAAAAAAAAGTGGTTTTAATTAATTAAAATGAAACAGCAACACTTTTACTACATACTGTAGAGTACTTAAAAGCCATTGCTTACACGGTCAAAGTATTGCCATCTCGGTCAAAGTAAGCTGTTTGACTATCTTCATCCGTCTTCGGGCAGCCAGTTTGCGTATCCGCTTGACAATGAAAAGTTGCATGTGGCCACACTCTTAATTTTTTTAGTCTTAATTTTTTTTCTTAAATTCTGAAAATGATTTGGATAATTGGAGTTGTGCTGTATCTGACATTTCAACTTAGCTACCTATTTTATTTCGATTGTTTATTTCCTTAACAGCAAAATTATAAGTGTTTTTTTTTGTATCTTTATACATCATCTAATAGTTTGTAAAATAAAGTTTCAATAATAAATAAATAAATTCAAATATACATGTTTAATGCATATTATTAGCAACAAACTGAAAATCTCAAAGCACTTCATCAACTATTTCTCAAGGGAACTCGGAATCCCCTGTACAGACAATGTCAATTTGGCCATTTTGCATGCACCTTTTCTCAAAATCTGCTCTAGATACACATTTGAAATTTTTCGCGTACACCTATCTGATTATACTGAATGAGCTTTTGAAACATTTTGAGTTTTAGAGTAATTTATAGAATATTGTATTTGGCATAATAAAATTTAGCACTTTTCTCACAAAAACAACAACAAAAAAGAAAAAATAAACTGTGAATTTTTTCCCTTAGTTTCTTACAAAAAGCTCATTTCAGTAAATATTGTGAAACATAATAAACAATTTACATACCTGTGAGTAGTAGTTCCTGAGAAAAGGTACATCGAGTATAAAAAAAAAAACACATTGGGAGAAAAATGCATTTTTATGTAAAAATCGTCATTTATCAAAGCATTCAATGATAAATTAAAACAAGATTTTTTTACAGTTCTAATTTTCATAAAGTATGGTAATTTTAGAAAGCTAAAAGTGTAGAGAATTTGAAAATTCAAAAATTCCCAATCACCAGTTTTTGAAGATTTTTGGCTTCGAACAGCTATAAAAATCTGAATACTTTAAAGTAAAGAAAGCTAAATTTGAAGTCTCCAGTCTAAAAGCTCCTTCAATACACAAAAACACTCAACGTGCTTTTGACATATTTTAAATCATGATATTAGTACATAAGTTTTAGCATCGATTTGATAATGTAGGCAAGATTTTTTGTTCAAAATTCATAACATTGAAACGGCTAAATATTTTATCCAAAATTTCATGGTTTGCAGTCTCATTTTAAAAGTGAAAGAAAAAAAAAGAAGTATCTCTGTGCAGCGTAATAAATTGTATCCTTCTGTTAAAACTATAGTTTTTTAAAAAGCAGAGGAATTTTAATAGCTTTTTATTTTTCCAGTTCGTTGCGATCTCTTTTGAATTTAGAAAATTTTATGCATTCTGACATATGCAACTAAGCTGTTTAAAATCCTTTATTTCTCCTTTTGAAAAAAACAGTTTAAAAATATTTTTTTCTGGAAACTTTACAGCAACGCAGTAATTTTCAAAACAGCTTAGTTTCAAACACACATTTGCCATTTTCCCACACAAAAACATTTCTTTATCTTTTTTTTTTTTTTTTTTTTTTTTTTTTTTTTGAAGAATTATCATACAGCGACTGTAGCCAAATTGCTTCGCTTTCATAGATAACAAGTAACAGCAAATCAAAACTAAGTTTTAATTCACAGACCATATTGTCATCTTTAAGAACCACAGCCACAAATTGCGCAATTTTTAGCTCTTCAGTTAAGATTCTGAGCTCGTATGTGGCTTTTATGACAAAAGAAGAAATTTAAAAAAAAGAAATCAAAAGTTAAATTTAAAAATAAATGTCATAGTTTCGAATAAAAAAATTCATAACTGCGATAAAAGACGATCATTCTATAATTAGATGCATACCGTTAATAATAAACAATCTTTAAAAGGTATATAAATTCACGAAATACAGCTATATAAATCGCATCTGTCTTTAAAATAAGCAAAATCAACACTCACTGGTAAGCAAGTAGGCAGTTCATCTGCACTGCAAAGCTGTAGCGCCAAGCAGGAAAGCCACAAGCCTAACAATTCCAGCCGGAGCTTCCACCTTGTCGTAGAATACATGATTTGATTTGATAGTTATTTTCGATTGATTAAATTAACACAATTCCTTAAGCAATTTCTCGAAGGAGATGATTCAGTTGATTTCATTTAGATTCCACACAATTAGCTGTGTGCATGAGAGACTTAAAATTTACATTGTTTCGTCTTGAGCTGCGGTTTGATTATGCTCCCGGCTCGAGCGTTTGTGAATGCGCTGCGAGCGAAACGGAGCGGATTCAGGGTTGCCAGAAAAGGAAAACAATTCGCAAATTATCGCCTTTTTGGCATGTTTAGATAAAGCTGTTGACACTATTCGGTGAATGTTTAAAGCAAATAATTGCCCATTTGTTAATTGAAAATTGATTTATTGAAGCCAGTAACTATTCCTAGCTTTAATATTTTACCTAAACTGGATGTTTCTAATAATATGAAGAAGCTGAATGTTTTGTTTTATGTAATATGGATATCTTAAAATATTCATTCTATATCAATCGTAAAAGAGATTACATTGGCAACTCCTAGCTTAACTTCGAATGTACTACGGCTCCCAAAAGTGTTCGTACACTTTAAGAATTTGTAGAAAAAGGTACTGTAGCCCGGAATTCAATTCGAATATAAAACCCTTTTTTTATATTATCTCCGTAGGATTTTGAATAAAACCAATTTTTTTATTTAGTACTGACTTATTTTCGTTTCCTAAAACTGAAAATGTAAAGAGGCATAGATAAAACACGCCACAAAAGTGACTGTACCCCCGAAATATATTTGTAAAAGTTCATAAATAAAATTATCGTCTGCCATTTTTTTTATTTTTGCATTTTAGTGACGTTTAGAAAATCGTTTGGCTTTATTCTTTGCTTCTTTATATTTTATTTAATATTTTAAAATGGCTCGTAGCCGTAAGGAAACAATGAATAACATTCGAAAATTGTTCATTTTTTCATAGGGGTGGGAAATCGGATCCGGGATATTGTAAATTAGTAAATTTATCCCATTCTACGGTGCTGTATGTGATAAAATGCTTTAAAGAAGAAAATGAGATCGAAAATAAAGTAAGGAGGGGTCGTAAAGCAAAGTTAATTCAACGTGATGAGAGATTTATAGTTAGAAAATTTGTGAAAAATCCACGTTCACTGTGAACATTTCTACGGAATTTACTGAAACATTTTATACTTCAGTTTCACCTGAAACTGTTCGACGAGTACTCAGATCAGCTGGATAATATGGACGCTCTGCTCGAATAAAATTTTTTGTAAGTGCAAAAAAATAGAAAGCTTAGGTTTTCCTTCGCAAAATCAATGGTAAATAAGGCCGAAGCGTACTGGGTTTGTATCTTAATTGCAGATGAAATCAAATTTAATATTTTTGGTTCCGATGGGCATATTTAATTGTATGGAGAAGAAAAATTGAGTAACTCAATTCCAAGACCTTGGTTGGAACAGTAAAGCATAGCGGTGGAGGTCTCCATGTGTGGGGATGCATATCAGCATCAGGATTAGGTAATTTCGTATGTATTGCTGCCATAATGAACCATGCTGTTTGCTTAAATATTTTAAAAGATAATTTTAAATTATCCGAATTTTATCCGAATTAATTTGAACATTGGAAACAACTTTATTTTTAGCAAAATAACGATCTTAAGCAAACGACCCTCACTGTTCTTCGCCTTCTCTGCATCTATATCTGTCCATAACTTCTGAAAACACCACTTCAGTCATCGGATTTAAATCCAACAGAACACACAGCTGGAGGGAAATAGAGGTAGAGTATGAAGACACAACATTAAAACGAAAACCGAACTAAAAACTGTAAAATGAAAGAATGGAAGAACACTGATGCAAATATTGCCCCCTCCCCCCCAAAAAAAAACTGGTGAACTTCATAAACGCTGTAGGATACCTTAAAAAATACTGACCCGGCATACAATATAAAATTTACTATTACAGTGTCTCACAAAATTGATGGGACACTTGTGCTTTACAAAAGGAAACTGCAATAAAATAAATTTAAAAAACATGTAAAATTTTTTGTGGATGTGTTTCATACTTAAATTTAGTAACAATTATTACATAACAACATTTCTCTCAAAATATTAAAATATTAATTTAATAAAAAATACAATTGTTTACCGGAGCAGAAAATGGCTCACTTAAGTGATGGGACACTTACTTTTCCATCAAATATTTATCCAAAATTTTACTTTTTAAAGGTTTTAATATTTTGTTGGATTTCCTTTTACTGTTAAAACATGATTTAATCTTCTTGGGATGGATTCGACTAATTTTTTTTGTGATTTCTGGAGTGATTTTACCCCATTCTTCTTGAAGCACCGATTTTAATTGTTGTTTTGAAGAAATGTTTTGCGAATTCTTGATTCCAATTCTTGCCAATA